GAAGAAGGAGGCGGCAACCGGCGAACATTTAAATGTTAAAGACTTTAATAAAATAAACACAAAATGAAAGTAAAGCGGCAGCCCCTCGCGGACGACTGCCGCACACAAAACACAAAATAAAGTCCAGGCCTGGTCCTCTCTCGTCTTTCACTGTCGTAGCTCCTCCTTTTATACTTCCGGAGCTCCTCCGTGGGACTCGAGACCGGTGAGTGGTGCAGGTGTCTCTCATTATCAATTACTCCACCGGCCTCGCTCAGTTCCCACGGCTCTTGGCCCCGCCCCTCTCGTCACAGTCAACCTGTTGTTGGGGACTCCCAAAACCAAAATATGAACCTTTCTTAACCCATAATAGGGGCACTTTAATGGGAAGGTTAAGGTTAAAATGTTACATTAAGATAACTATTTGAAGCAGCAGATGACAAATCCCATCTGGCTGTGATCCCACATTCTGGTCCACACCTTAAGGTGCTGTCATGTAAAAACACCTGTTCTCTAAATCTTCTCCATCCTCTCCTACAGGATTATTGTGTGTTGCAATGCTTTAATGAATCTTTAAATCTCCTCCTAGGCTGTTTTCTACAAGGTTCAGCGATTTAGGCTTATCCTTTTGAAGAGGATAAAACAGAAACACAGGCTCTAGAAAGCTGGGAACTGGGAAAGATTAGTCAAGAATAAATTAGGCATGCGTGACTATCAATTAAAAAAAAAAACTTATGGGCAAAAAAAAAAAAACATGATGAAATGAAAATGAGACCAATCGGACCAATCACCGCAGATTAGTGTCAGACAAAGGAGGGGTTTGGAAAAAGTGAATCGTTGAGCGAATCGTTTGTGAGTCGTTGAGCAAATAAGGTAAAAATAAATGCATATTATAAGACAATGAAAGTGTTTTTTGACCTTGCATGCATGTCAATGTAACATAGTTCGTAGTCACGGGAAGAAGGACACAGGAACCAGCGAACATTTAAACTATTTAATAAAATAAACAAACACAAAATGAAAGTAAAGCGGCAGCCCCTCGCGGACGACT